AAATACGGAAAGAAAAAAAGTCTGGCCAAAGTTTTGTCATGTTCTGGTGTTCTCTTGGTGGTGAGAATTATTTTCATTTGAAGAACTGCAGAGGAGGTGAAATATAATTTCTCTGTGGCTGCTGGAAATTCTGCTGCCTACTGGGTCCACATCTGTTTGTGTTTAAAGTTGCGATGATGCAGGTGGTGACTAGCCATACTTACCCTTCATTCTAGTGATAGGCTAAACTCAGCTGGAGCTAGAGATAAAAGCTTAGATTTCAAGTTCTTTTAGCACAGAAATTTCTTTATGATTACTGATCTGTAGTAATCTGCCATAATAATCTGTAAAATCTGCCATAGTATATTTTTTTCTAGACTCTATGGTGGATATATCTCAGCTTTTTATAGGTATTTACAAAACTTTAGTTCTCCTAATTGTGTAAAGTAAGAGAAGTTTGTTTCTCTTGACTTGCTCAGAGGTCTTATTTAGAAACTACTTACTACTGCTGCTCCTGCGATTAGTGTTGTTTGCCATGTTGCGTATGTATTTTTGTTTCGCTGCTTATAAAAGTAAACAAGTTGAAATTTATTTACAGGCTAAGGAATGGACTGGAATTCTAGGTAAGACAAAGAAAGAGAAACCAACTGAAAAGTTCTACTCTGAATCAGAAGAGGGGGAAGATGAGTCTACCAGTAGCAGTGCATCAGGTAGGTGCATCTATTTGAATGGAAGAGGGGCACCTTAAAATCTGAATATGGTGCTGCTTCTAGCCTAGTGACCAGCAGGTCGAGGGAGATTCTGCTCCCCCTCTACTCTGGTGAGGCCAAATCTGGAGTACTGTGTCCACTTCTGGGCTTTCCACTTCAGGAGAGACAGGGAACTACTGGAGAGAGTCCAACGGAAAGCTATGAAGTTAAGGGATTAGAGCATCTCCCTTACTATGAAAGGTTGAGGAGCCTGGCTCTGTTTAGCCTGGAGAAGAGAAAGCTGAGAGTGGATCTTATCAGTGTTTAGAAATACCTGAAGCGTGGGTGTCAAGAGGATGGAGATGGTCTCTTTTTAGTTGTGCTCAGCAATAGGACAGGGGGCAATGGGCATGAACTGGAAGACAGGAAGTTCCACCTCAACATCAGGAAAAACTTCTTTACTGGAAGGGTGCCAGAGCCTTGGAACAGGCTGCCTAGAGAGGCTGTGGAGTCTCTTTCTCTGTAGACTTTCAGATCCTGCCTGGATGCATTCCTGTGTAACCTGCTATAGATGAAGCTGCTTTGGCAGGGGAGCTGGACTAGATGACCTCCAGAGGTCCCTTCCATTCTGTGATTTGGTGTTTCCCTGTTGTTCCTAAAATGAGGAAATATGCAGAGGTGGTGCTTAAAAATCGTATCACTGAAATTAATGATCTCTGAAGCAAGAAAAGAATATATTCACTTCAGATATTTGAATATTTGGTAAATATATGGTTAGAGAATTAATAATTTGTTTAAATCAGTGATTTAATCATTATTGCTATCAGTATTCAAGAACAGACTAATTAAGCAATTGGTTGAAGAGATAATCTTGCAGTTAAGTGAACGTGTAAATTAGGGAATTTGAGGTCGTCTCCAATTCCTGGTAGGGTTATATAATTTTGAAAAATCCACATGCAATTAGTATATTACTGGGCTTCTTGATTTGATAAAGTGTAGTAGAGTAGGCTGAAGAGGACAGATCTTTAGCAAACAACATTTTGTAAACATTTGGCGAAGGAGATATTCTTTCCTGCTTTTGGCACAGGGCAAACAATGCTAAAGTTTGCGATTGGATCTTTAAATACTGAAACATTGTTTTATTTAAACCAAACTTGTATTCCAAAAATACTAATTATGTAATGTATTTAAAAAAATAGTAAGAGTCGTTTTTCTTTCAGAGAGCGAGTCTGGCAATGAAAGTGAGAAAGAAGATAAGGAGGAAGACAACAGTGATGAGAGTAGTGATTCTTCTTCCAGTACTGAAGAATCAAGTGACAGTGGATCAGACAGCAAAGAAAGTATTGCGAAGAAAACATCCAGAGTTGCTGATGGAAGGTAGATAAACATTTGTATAGCTTTAATTTTTTCGCGATGCTAGCTGTTAAAGAAATCTTCCCATAAACAGTCTGGTAAGACTTTCATTAGGCTTTCTGGGGACTTTATTGGCCGTGGAGTGCTATCTCCTGTTTCAGTGTATGCCAGTAATGTTCAGTGTATTAACTGGGTTCATATTTTCATTAATCAGACTAGTCTTATGTTTGGAATTAATTTCTGACTTCAGTAAAATCTTGGGTGGCTTTTTGAAAATTGATGTAACCTTGGGAGTCTGAATAAGTGATCAAACAGTTGTGTGAAACACTTAATTACCTTTTGCAGCAATTTTGCTGAGAGCTAAAATTAAGTCCTTCAACACTTTGCCATTATGTAACTAAGACAATTGATTTTTCTAAATAATGTTATATTAAAAAGATTATGATCCAAATATTAGAGGCAGGAGCTGTGAAGGGAAACGGTCATAAGATATTTAAGTGTTAGCGCTTTTTAAGATTGCCCATTATCAACAGCATTATCGTGTATTAAAGTATCATTAAAATTTTGAGTAATTGGGGCTAATACCTTGCATTGTATGAATCTGTTTCTTCCAGTGCTGTCAGCAAGTGGCCTCTGCAGACATGATCACCCTTTACTCTGTAGTCTGCTGCCAGCTCACTTGATGAGTTTGCAGCTCAGCTCAGTCGTGGCTGACAGCGCTGATTGGGGCGCAGTACGCACTCTGCTCCTTTTATTACAGACAGTAATTAAAGCAGCTCGCCTTGCCACTTCCATAACAAACACAGCATAATGCCCTAATTATGACTTTATTAATTTAAGTCAGGATTTAATGATTTTAAAAGTGATTTATATTGTTTTTCCTGTTCAGAACAAATGAAATCTGTAGGTTAAATTAATACAGGCTTTTCATCATCGCAAAGTTATAAAGCTAGTTACCAGTAAATTCCTTTCATTAGAATAACATCTGAAATTTTAAGCAGTAAGGTAAACAATGATTACCCATCAAAACTGGCTGATGTACAATAATATAGCATTTTAAATCTTCAAATCTAGTTTTAAAGATAAGCTAAAAAATTGCTGAAAAACAGCTTACTTCATTTTTATAATTGCTTCAGGATAACTTATCTGTTGATGCAGCTACAGCTGCTCTTCAATGGCAGCGAAGGAAATGTACATAATTTTGTCAGTACCTGTGTCATAAACATGATGAAGAAGAAACTTTAAAAACTATATGCTAGTGATTTTTCATGTTTAGCTTATTGACCTCAAACAAGTTTTTAAATGTTGCCATATCGAAATGTAATTTTGATAGTACCTATTTTTGCATCAAGATTTTAACAATCAGATATGCTACATTAGGCTCTTTTTTTGAAGTATACTCATTTCTTTTTTAGGTTTGCAAACTTGAAGTTTGCTGCTTTCAGAAAAAAAATGCTTTTGACCAAAATTTAAGGGGTTGATTTCAACTTCAGTTACATGTGTAGGCATTGTTAGCATGGCTTAAATGTTAATATTTATTTTTAATAATTTCTATTAAATTTGATTTAGGCAATTCAGTCCTTGGAAGTTCTTGGGAGGAGGAAGGCATTGCCCAAACAATATTCCTTTCTCTCATGTTAGATTTTTCTATTCACTTTCTCTGTATTTTTCCCAGCTAAACACATTGCTATGTCAAGCAGTAATACAGCATAGTACATTCTTTTCTGCTGCACCTAAATCTAGGCAAAAACGTCTAACAATTTAATTTCATTCGAAGAGGACTTTAATAGTTCAGTGGTCTGGATTTGTTTAATTATTGTTGACCTTGTTACCCTTCAAGCACTTTAGTAACCAATTTGTTGTCTTGGGGGGGAAGCTTAATCAGGCAGTGTATAAAACACCTGATTTGAAAGTATAGAATGGTTGACTGCAGATCCAAGAACAGAGGATTTTTTCTATATTCAATGTTAATTTATTTGCTCCATGATGACTATTAGAAAACAATTTTAATTTCCTATGATGTTTCTAGGTAATAACTCCCCTGAAACAAAAGGCTAATCTACAAAGTGGTAGTTACAGTTCTATTAAAAGCAAACAATGCAGATTTCAATAATATTCAGTAGCTGTTAGCACAGAGGAACATAATACAACATTGCCAGAGTGAACAGAACTTCACTGTGTGAAGAATAATGTCTCTGAAGTCCATTAGCTGTAAGGTACTCAATATGACCAAAGGTGTCAGCATGTAATAGCTCTTCTATATAAACTCTTTAATGGGTTGAAATATTTGTAGATATTACCAGGCCTGTTTCTAGGTGGTTTGATTTAGAAGAATTAAGGAAGGAATAAATTCAGTGCATTGACTTTTTTTTTGAGCAATATTACTTTGCAAAAACATCTTAGAAGCCATCAAGATTCTGTTAATCGTAGTGGAATAGTCTGAGAATTTATTTATATGAAAAGGTGTCTGCATTTTTTTCTGAACTTTCACAAGCTTAATACATGGAAATAGTGTTTTTAATATATAATATGTTTACATTTTTGTTGGATTCTTTGGCTGAGTTAGATTGTATGTAATGATTTATTGCAAAATAGGATAGACCAATTAACATAGGATATTCCCAAAGAAGATTCCTTTAATGGTTTGACATGTCAATTTTTTATTTTTTTTTCAATATGTAGTGATGTAGAGGACATTAAAAAGAAATCAAAGGAGAGCTCCAGAAAGAGAAGCACGTCCAGTTCCTCTGATACAGCGTCCACTTCATCAGAAGAAAGTTCTTCGGAGTCTGAATCAGAATCAGACTCTAAGGGTGACTCTGAGTCTGGAAAATCTAGAAGTGCTGCCTGTAGTAAGGTAAAGTATGTTATTTAAAAAAACCCTATGATAGATGAAAAGATGCATCAAACCATCTATAGTTGTTTCTTTTTGTGAGGAATGGAGATGGGTGGTGATTCCATGGATATTGAATAAAACCAGAATTTCTGAAAAACCTTCTGACCTTTCATATAAAGACCAATCTCAAAGTTGTGTGATAGTTTAAGCAAATAAGAATGTTTTATAATGAAAAACACAATTTTGTTTTAATTCTATTATTTTTACTCCAGATAGATGAGGAATAATAGAACGTACTTAGATTACCGTTGAACTGGTGAAAGCATAGTACATGGGTAGTTTACAAAAATAATACCTGATTTGGAATGATTATTGTATTCAAATTAAAGTATAGCTATTACAGGACCTAGGTCAGACAGGAAGCAAAACCAAGAAATAAATCTTAATACATTGTTTCTTTAAGATTTTGAAGACATTCTGTTAGAACCACTGGCTTTGTTTTAAAATTTCCTGTTAAAATTTAGCATAGTGCACTTAATGCATCTATACTTGAGGTGTATACGTAGGCTAGCGGAATTAAAATTCTTAATGAGTAATCAACTTTTTATTGCTTTGTGTTTGACGGAAATAAAGCTTATAAAGCCTTCTGGTACTTCCAAGTTTTATTAGCTTTCTTACAATATCTCTGAAGGAGCAAACTTTCAGATGTGTCTTTTTTTAATTGGATTCAGAGATATGTGAGGATGCAAAAGTCTTCAACAAAGCCATCCATGTATCAGTTAAGTTTTAATTGCTTACCTTAGTGAAGAAAAAGAGGTTGAAAGTTCATTAAACTCAAGCTAGCATTATAGAGGTAAAACTAATAGCATTAATTGGTTTCTGTTTCTGTACCTACCTTTCCTTTAAAAATAAATAAATGTGGAACTTTATGCTAAACCTGTTAAGGTAGAATTGTAAAAGAATTTCTGAAACTTGCCTCTCTGTTGTTATGGTTTAAGCCCAGTCAGCAGCTGAGCACCCTGCAGCCACTTAGTTACTCTTCCCTTCTCCTGGTGCAATGGGAAGGAGAAGTGGAGGAAGAAGGTTAAACCTTGTGGATAGAGATAAGAACAGTATAATAGGACAACATAAAGAAAGAATAAGTAATTATAGCACTAAAACTAATGAAAGAAAGTATAAAGCAGGTGATGCACAATGCAGCTGCTCACCACTCAGAACCTGATGCTCCACCAGCTCCTGAGCTGTAATTCCTCCTACCCCAGCCAGCTCTCCCAGTTATATACTAAGCATCAGGTATCCCCTTGGTTAGTTTGAGTCAGCTGTCTTGGCTGTGCCTCCCCTGAGCTTCTTGTGAAACCCAGGATATATCAAGCGTCCTGTGCATTTCTTTCTATATATTTTATAAGAGATTTGAAGGGTAGAATGGTGGCTTAGGAGTTTCGATTTTAATACTGATAGGTGGTTTTAAAAATTAAGTAGGAAGTTAATTTAATGCTCTTGAACATGGAGGTCTGTTTCAGTGTACTGTATTACTCTCTCGGATCATGAAGGTGTTTTCCATTTAAGATGTGTTGGATACCTCCATTGATGTTTGAGGTGTTTCACATACTTGGTTATATGCAGAAGCATAATGGGATGAGAGGGTGGGCAGGAGAATCACAGGTGTTGTGTCACAGGTGATTATTATGCTAACTAGCTTAACAGATTTTTTTGAGACACCTGCTTTGAGCCATATGATTGTAGGCGGAGCTAACTGACGATAAACTAGATAAACCTTTCCAAGCTGCAAAGAAAAGCAATTGTTCACAAACTTTAAAGAACATTATAGATCAAGTAGTGTATAGAGCCCTTGTGTTTAGGTGCACTTCACAAGGAACACCTCTGTGTATTTCCAGGAAAATCCTGGAATTTTTCTGCTTTGTACCTCACTTTTTTTCAAGCCACCCAGGAGGCAGATAATTTCAGCCAGGCTCTCAGAAATGCAAGTTTTTATTCTCATAGATTTTTATTGGAAAAGCCATTGCTTACACTACTGTACTACAGGATATTCCTAATTGGATCCATGTGTATGGGAAGATTTGTTAGGATTTCCTTGCCGTTTGAATAAAAGTGAAGAGATTTTTCTGAAATACATATTGACAAGAGGGGTAGTTGTGAGGCTCTATTTTCATAGTTTCTGAGTTTGCCATACATTATGAACTATGTTACATAGCTGATGTTTTGGGTGATGTTTACCATTCTGTATGTTTTGTTGGGTACCATTGCCATGTTCAGCAGAATTTTCATGAGAAAAAAGGTTTTATTACACTCACATGGGATCTTAATTTGTGCATACATCCATGCATATACTAGCATTAAAATAGGTTACAGAAATTTCAGATTATTTTTCCTGAATATATTATTAAAGCTGTCATATTTTTTCTCTTGAATTATTTTGAAAAAACTGTTTTGTTCACTGTAACTGAACTGCAGTGAATGGAAAAGTCACTCTCTTTTACTGCAGTGTTTTATATCATTTTGAAATATGGATAGTTTGAGGTGTTCAGGTACATATTTTATTGTAAGCATAAATACTGTAGAGCTAACATGCAGATTTGAGGATGATGCATGTGTAAGTAGGTGTCTCTACAGTGGGATTTTAAAATCAGCTACTGTTGACCTCCTTATACAAGTATTATACAGTCACTCAGCTGTTAAAAACCTGATCCACTATTTAAAAAGTATACAAAAACAAATTGTCTATCTTTCTGCCTGATCTCTTTTCAAGTGCTAACACAATGGAAACAGTGGGTGATCTGTCAATGCATTTGGATTGTCAATGATGGTTCCATATAAATATTGGGAGGATAAGAAATAAAATTCGTACAGCAAAATATGATTTCATCTGCCTTTTCTCTGCAGCTCCATGGCTCATGCTGCGGTGTGAAATTCTCATTTTACACACTTTGCAGGCGGAGCACATGAATTATGCATTGAGCAAGAGAAATCTCCTGCTTCAAGTCCTATATGCATTTACCAGGTTCTATCTCTATTACCAAGATGAATTGCAAATGGAGAAATGTTTGATGGAATACAGCTTAACTTCTTTGTTTAGTATTCTGCTTTTCCCATAGTGGGCTTTCTTGGTAGGAAACGGTTTGGATTATATTGTAGACTTAGTTTTAAGAAAAAAGATGAAAAATTACGTTACAGAGGAATTCCAGACACGACAGAGCCTTTTTATTCTCTTAATTTGGAATGCAAAGGCTTTTTCACTCAATAGAAACGTCTGTTGCTACTATTTGTTGCAGTCATTGGCTATTTATTATTTGTAGAAAGCCAATCAATTTTCTTTTCTTGGAAAAAAACAAATTAAAAAATAATTGTGTTTCTAATAGGCAAGGCCCATGTAAATAGATTTTGGTGTGTTATACAGAATTGTACAAAATTAATATATATAATCATATATAGATATATACATATAAATATGAAAATATTTGTGTTTATATGTATATGTAGCATACATACACACACATACATGTAGTTCAGTATTTACTTAAGCTTGACACACTTGACTGAAGTATAAAATAAGATGTGATCATACTTAAACATTAGCTTTATCTTGATTAAGTGAGCTTTTGATTTCGCAGATGGTATGGTTGGGTTTTGGGTTTGTTTTGTTATATAGTAGGGGTTTCATTTGTTAGGCTTTTTTTTTTTCCTTTGTGGGTTTTCTTTAAGAGTAAACTGATGTACTTAAGTACAGTATTCTGATAAACTGTGCAGTGGAAGTCTTTCTTAACACTTAATACTTGGTATCTTGATTCTATACTTGTGCCTTAGGACCACTTTATTTTATTTTGAAGAAATAAATTCTATTGAATGTTTTACCCATTTTTAAAAATTAATTACGTTGCAGAATCAAAATCATATCACTGCAGAAATGCATTTTATCTTACAAAACTACATATCAAGCTTTCTGCCATGTACTTAGTAACTATTATAGAATAGCAAAATAAATAAAAGAAAAAAAACAGAGGCATATTACTGGTATTATTATAAGAATATTCTGTCTTAATTGTCTCCCTGATTAACAGTAAGAGGATTTTTTGGCTCTGACTCCTAATTTTTAAAAAATCTTGACCTAGCCATGCTGCCATTGGCAGAGCTGAAGCATATTCAAAATTCTTATCCTTGTGCTATAGCCTCTCATGTGTGTGAGCCACTTCTTATAGGCTTTAATTGGCTGGATAATAAAAGGGAATGAAGAAATCCCATCTCTACTGGAATAATTAAAAAATGCAGAACTCTAGCTAAAAAATAACCTTTGAATCTTAATCATAGTTGTAGAACTGTATCATATTGGATAAGTGGGAGTAGGGAATGAAAGAGTTTGGAAATTGAGGGTTTGGGGTTTAAGTGTATTTGCGTTTTGTTTAGCCATGTTCTCTTTTTGTATGTGCTGGAGTCTGAAGAGCTTGAAGTTTAGCAAACAAGTTGTGATGCATAGTTTATAGTAAAAGTGCTGCACATAATAGCTAAGTACCTAATTTGGAGTTAAATATTCACCAAAAGCTGCTATGAAGACTTTGAATTCTTTAAAAGGATTGTCATGAAATTGTTTCTCTGAAGGAGGGATGAGGAGTATAATGAAGCCCCCCTGCAATCCAGGAGGAAATGGTCAGTGACCTACTACACCAGTGATACACATGTCCATGGGACTAGATGGGATCCACCCAAGGGTACTGAGGGAGCTGGCAGAAGCGCTTACCAAGCTACTTTCTGTCATTTATCAGCAGTTCTGGCTAATCAGGGAGGTCCCACTTGACTGGAGCTTAGCAAGTGTGACACGCTTCTACAAGGGCTAAAAGGAGGATCTGTATAACTACAAGCCTGTGAGTCTGACTGTGGTGCCAGGGAGGGTTATGGAGCAGATCACATGTGGTGCCACCATGTACAGGACAACCAGATCAGGCCCAGTCAGCATGGGTTTACGAAAGGCAGCTCTTGCTTTAGTAACCTGATCTCCTTCTATGACAAGATGACCCATTTAGTCAATGAAGGAAAGGCTGTGGATGTTGTTTATATGGACTTTAGTAAAACTTTTGACACTGTTTCCCACAGTATTCTCCTGGAGAAAGTGGCTGCTTTTGGTTTGGCAGAGTCTGCATTTCACTGGATAAAAAAAACTAGCTGCACAAATGAGCCCAAAGAGTGTGGATGAATGGAGTTAAATCCAGTCGGTGGCTAGTCACAAGTGTTGTTCTCAGGGGTCAGTACTGGGGCCTGTTCTCTTTAATATCTTCAGCAGCATTCTGGATGAGGGGGTGGAGTGCACCCTCAGTAAATTTGCAGATGGCATTTTGTTAGGAAGGAGTGTTCATCTGTGTAGAGGTAGGAAGGCTCAAAAGAGGGATCTGGACAGGCTGGATGGGCCCAGGCCAGTGGGATGACGTTCAACAGGGCCAAGTGCTGGATCTTGCACTTGAGTCACTGCTCCATGCAATGCTACAGGCTCAGGGAAGAATGGCTGGAAAGCTGCCTGCTGGGAAAGAACCTGGGAGATTTGGTTAATAGGTGTCTGAATAAGAGCCAGCAATGTGTCCAGGTGGCCAAGAAAGCCAGCAATATCCTGGCTCGTGTCAGAAATAGTGTGGCCAGGAGGGCTAGGGAAGTGATTTTCCCCCTGTCCCCCTAGTGAGGCCACATCTTGAATACTGTGTTCAGTTTTGGGCACCTCACTATGTGAAGGACATTGAGGTGCTTAAAAGCAGCCAAAGGAGGGCAATGAAGGTAGTGAGCGGTCTAGAAACAAGTCTTAAGGGGAGTGGCAGAGGGAACTGGGGTAATTTACTCTGGAGACAAGGAGGCTGAGGGAATACCTCTCTACAACTCTATACAGCTACCTGAAAGGACATTGTAGGAAGGGGAGTGTCTGTCTCTTCTCCCAAGTTGCAAGTGATAGGACAAGAGGAAATAGCCTTAAGATGTGCCAGGTGAAGTTTAGACTAAACATTAGGTAAAATTTCTTCACAGAGGAGTTTGTAAAGCAGTGGAACGAGCTTGCCCAGGGAAGTGGCTAAGTGACCATCCCTTGAGGTATTTAAAGGATTTACAGGTGTAGCGTTGAGGGATGTTGTTTAGTGGTGACCTACCAGTGCTGGGTTCACAATTGGACTTGATGATCTTAACAGTCTTTTCCAACCAAAATGATTCTGTAATTCTTGACACTTCATAGACATGAATAATTCAAGTAGGACCTGTAACTTATAAATTATACTATTTCACACTTATTTCACAGATTAAAAGAAAAAATAATAAAAAAAAAAAAAAAAAAAAAAAAACAAAAAAGAAGGCCAAAAAAAAAAGCTTAATGACTTGCCAGTAATCACACTGGAAGAGAAAAATGAAATCTGGTAGTTGTGACCAAAATGGAACTCAAGAGAGCATGTTCTGAGGTAGAGTCCCTCACTAATTCTGGACAAGGCATATAAGAAATTGAATAACATTTTACTGATATTTTGTAGTAATTACTTTGTCCATAGGAGTTTTGTCACTGGAGTATGTTGTTTTAAAAATATTTTTTTAATTAGTGGCTTCTGTTCTTCTCTGTCTACAAGATTCTTCTCTGAAAAATATCTAATGCACATCTGTAATAGTCACATAAGTAGTTACTGTTTATTTGAGCCTTGGATTTATTGGAAGAAAATGAGCAAAGTCATTTTGGCTCAGGTCAAGCCTAATAGTCATAGATATCAAAAGCTTCAAATAGCAAGAACATTAGCTAGTATCTTCCGTATTCTTTGGAGTGAACTGTGGAATTTCTCCCAAAACTGGGAAAAAATAGACTTAGCTTTATTGTTAGTTTGCAACTGACCATGAGTATGAGAAACTAGAAGAAAAGAAATGCACCTTTAGAAGAGAGGGGTCATTTTATTCTATAGTGATAGTCAAAGAAGGTGATTCTAGCTTCTGAATTTCTGAGAGGACTCCAAGATCCTGTAGGAATTTGTATCCTGAGTGCCTGAAGAGACTAACATCTCATAAGAAATGCTCAGGAAATGGAGGCCTGAATGGGCATATGAAATTTCACTGATTTATCTAGACCAGTTCATTTATTAGAAAAGGTAAAAGAATAATATATATAGCTGCAATACCTTGGGTAATGAGCAATATCTTGAGGTCTAAAAGCAGTTGACAAATTCTTGAAAAAATGACAAAGCTTCTGTCTGGTGAGTGAACCAGAGAGAACAAAAGGTAGGATGAGTTCTTCAGCCAATCCATATGAAGGATGCTTAAGAGTGGGTAGGAATAACATGATGACAATCTGTCTGGTGAGCATCCAATGGGTAACTATTGGGAGTCCATGTTGAGCTGTGACACACTAAATTGTGTCCTGAATCATCACTGTCTAGATATGTTCTATAGATAAGAACAACACTCGCTGTTACTAGATTTGTTTAGAACTTATTATTTGGCTGTAGTGAAACAAATTTTGTTGAAATATGGTTTGCTGAGTCATTGGGATTACTCTCCTATGGAAACAGAAATGCTAGTAGCAATGTCTTTTGTCTTCAAAAATGCTCCAATCTCTGTTTTAATAGTCTCAACAGAAATGTCTGATCTGTGACCAGAAGTTTTCTCTGAGTGGTAACAATTATTAATATTAAACAAAATTGCGGGCCTCAGTGGAGTAAATACAACTCAAATGAGGAATTTATGTTCAGCTTACCTGTACAAAGAAGTCTTTCTTACTTGGAAAATTCTCTGAAAACAGGTTTTTCTTTTACAGCAGAGAAAATATACTTTACTTTACAAAAGTATTAGAGACTTCTCTTTTGCTGATGTCGTAAAAAGTGAAATATTGTTGTATTTTGACAGAAAGAAGAAAATCCAGTGCTAGATGGAAAAGCTCCAAACAAAGAAGATGTGTTTCTCTTAGATTTAGATGATTGTAAGTATCTTGGTTAAAGCCTTAGTTTTCCCATGGCATAAATTCAATTCAGTTAATTCAGTGAATTTTATATGTCTGAAACATTCATTCTTTTCATTTGTCATAGCAGCTTTCTGACCAAAAAAAAATTGCTTAGATGATGAACTTACCTTTAAGCATGATTATTACAATATGTGATTTTGTTTGCTTTAGAACTGGGAGGTAATTTCAAAATTCAGAATGTGTTTGTAAATAATGTGTATGTCTGGACTTGTTTTCTGTTAAAGTGGACTGATTTTTCACAGCTTCTATGCAACCTGTGAAACAGTTGTTGTACCGCAGTAAGACTGTAAAAATTAAAGTTTTGAAGAAGAGATTAAAATGTAATCTTGGAATGGTAGGGTAGAGCTGGCACTGTTTTTTGGCTGTGCTTTCTAGAGCCATTCTTCAGGCTTACTTTCATAGGTTCAACATGTGTTAGAATTGCATTAATATGTACTTTGTATATAACTTGCAAATGAAAGTGTGCTGCATATGGATCAAATTGAAGAACAAAAATAGAGGAAAAAATGGGAGATGATGACAAAATATGTTTAATGTAAGTAACGTTCTATACATACGTCAGTTTTACTTATGTTTTCATTATTTATTTTGAGTGCTGGGGCTATATGTCTGAAAAAATAATCTTTGGCTATTAAGAAACATATATACAAGGGCAAAATGATTAATCAAACCGTAAAACCTTTTTACACTTAATGAAAATAATTCATTGTTCTTTCCAGTATTTTTTTTTTAATCAATTGTCTTTTTACTTCTAGTCTGTCCTGTGACAACTCCTGTGGCCGTTCCTACAGCAACTGTTCTGTCCCCAAGTTTAGCAGCAGACTTAGAGGGATTAAGCCTATCAAGTTCATCAGTCATTGATGTAAGTAGCCTTTAAAAAGTGTGGGGAGGAGGTGTCTCAGTTTAAGCATTTCACATATTTAAAGTGATTTTTAAAAAATACTTTCATCTATAAAGATCTTTTATGAAATTCTGGTTTGCATGCAAGTCCGGCAGCTTTTTCTGATCTGTAAAAATTACCTTCTGCAACACAGAGAGAAGTATGAATATTACATATCTGAGAAGGATACCTTGAAGGATTTTTAACCTTCTCTTTTTTCCTTTGCCTCAGGGAGACTTAAACTCACAAATTAAGTCGCCAAACTATATGAACCTTTCAAATCATCTAGTTTCTACACTATCAAAAATAAACTACAAGAAAGTCACATACCTGTTAATTTTCATCTTGTTTGTTTACCACACGTGCCTTCAGTTATGATGGTTTGCTACTTGGAAGTAATTTTTCATGAGTATACAAAGCATAGCCCCTGGGTGCAAATAAAAAGGGTATAGATTTACAATCAGTGTTGTATCAGTACATGTCATGATTCATTCTGTTAGTGCTTTCTGCTTTGTAGCACTTCCCATTAGGGAATCTCAAAACTATAGGTATAATTAAGGTTAGCAAAGTCATGGAGGTAGAGGGCATTCCTTTGTTGGGGGAAAGGATAGTAGTTTGTGTTCTTTTTTTGACTGGGTGTTTTTTTAGTAATTTTGTGTCTCCAATTTAAATTTGCAGCTTAATAAGGAATTGCAGCAGTACAACGTAGGCTATTTATGATTATAAAAGTGGATGGAAATTGCCAGGAAAAAAATATCAGAGGCACAGGCATTTTTTAGCTTAGCCTTGTGTCTCGTGAGGCTGGTATACAGAACCTACACTGCTACTTTAATAATCACTGTTAAAGTACTTTGTGCTGGCTTTGGAAGCAATATGTTTGCAAAATCAAATACTTCTTACAGAAAGGAGCTCTATGAATCATTTGACTCAAGAAATAAAAGAATTTTATGGATTCAGTTTCATGTTTACAGGCTTTAAAATTTGATGTTGAAAAAAGGTAAACTTTCAGATGATGTGTTGGATTGCCTTATTTAAGGAAACTGTGAAGAGTTTAGATTACAAAAAGAGCAGAAAGGATCTGTGGACATGCAGTCACTTTACCAGATGCGTAGTCTTTCACATGTCACACAGTCTGAAAATACCAGAAATTCACTTCTGTGTTATTTTGCAGTGCAGAATGCAGTATTAGGTGGCAAGCATGAGTTTAGCTACAGCTCTGTTGTTATTCCTGTGATTGCAATCTCACAGTTCCTTCTTTGCCATCCTGTGTGGCTCTGACAGCTCAAAACACAGGCAGTCATCTGGTTTCCTGGCTCTGGGTTAGCTTAAGAATAACTCTCATGTCTTTGCTTTACTTCAGAATTATCATCTTTGAGGATAAGTTAAAGGTAGCAATCAACAATGTTGGGTGCTTGAGAACACCCACATAATCACAGAATGTTAGGGGTTGGAAAGGACTTCTGGAGATCGAGTCCAACCCCCCTGCCAGAGCAGGACCATCTAGTCTAGGGCAGGTCATCTACTCATTCAATCACCACATCATAGAATGCTATCAGATTAGTCAAGCATGATTTCCCCTTGGTAAATCCATGCTGACTAGTCCTGAGAACCTTCTTCTGTTCTATGTGCTCAGAGATGACCTCCAGAATGAGTCGCTCCATCATTTTTCCCAGGATGGAGGTGAGGCTGACTGGTCTGTAGTTTCCTGGATCTTCCTCCTTGCCCTTTTTTGAAGGCTGGAGTGACACTGGCTTTCCTCCAGTCCTCAGGCACCTCTCCCGTTTGCCATGATCTACCAGATGTGATGGAGAGTGTTGGAGTGACAACATCAGCCATTTCTCTCAATACTCTTGGGTGCATCTCATCAGGGCCCATGGACTTCTGTATGTTCAGTTTCCTGAACTGATCGCTAGCCCAGTCTCCACTGACCAGCAGAGAGTCTTCCCTCCTCCAGGCTTTCTCTCCTGCATCTGGGGCCTGGAGTTCACAAGGGCTGGTCTCAGGGTTAAAGACCGAATCAAAGGCAGCATTCAGCAGCTCTGCCTTCTCTGCACCCTCAGGGATCAGGGCTGTGCCTCACTCAGCAGTGGGTCCCACTGCCCCTCTTGTTCCTTTTACTACTGATAGATTTGGAGAAGCCCTTTTTGTTCTCCTTTACTTCCTTTTATAGTTTTAGTTCTAAGAGGGCTTTGGCCTTTCTTATTGCCTTCCTGCATGTCCTGAAAGTTTCCCTGTATTTACCCCAAGTGACGAGTCCCATCTTACATGAGCTATACACTTCATTCTTCCATGAGATTTCCTTCAGAAGCTCCCTGCTCATCCATGCAGGTCTCTTAGCTCATCTACCCAATTTTTTACTCAAGGGAGTGCACCTGTCTTGGGCTTGGAGGAAGTGGCATTTAAAAATTGACCAATTTGACCAACCAAAACAACCCTGTTTGCCAGTGTCTTTAGTCCTTTCATAATCTACAGTACATGAACACGTGGTCCACTCCCACAGTGATGCTTTCCCCATGGCTGCCACAATTCATTTGCTGAGTTGTTCCTCCCCATTCCTTGGAAGGTAGCTGCAATGAAACAGGGAGGTATTAGCTAGAAAGAGCTAGAATGTGTAGGCTAAACAGCGGGAAGAAATTCTGCATGAAAAGGTCGATTCTGCCTCTTTCTCAGTGCTGCCTTGTTCTGCTAGGTCATATAACCACCAAAGAAGCTGGAACATTTCCTCATATTCCCTGCTCTGGAAATAACGTAAATCACATAACAACTGATAGTTGCTGCCTGGATAGTGATGACATGTTTTGGGCTGCATTCTGTTTTCAGATCTAAGTTCAACTTTCATTGCCACTGATGGTAATTGCATATGTACATGAGGTCCTTTGCTGAGTTTTGTGCACCAGGAATTTTTTAAAAATGAAAATACAAGAGTAAGTTTTAAGACTATGTGGGGATATCCCTCTTAATATAGTATTTTAAATTTAATCCGTGATAACTAATTCTAAAAATAAAGAGGATAGTTGTCATACTTCAGAAAACTTTTTCTCCCTTCAACGGGAGAGAAAATGAATTTAACTGTAGGGCACATGCCAAACTAACAGTGAGAAATTAATTTATTACAAGGCAATGGAGAAGATGGAGTAAAAATAGATAAGTACAGTATATGACCCTAATATCAAAGAAATGTAGCAGCCACTTATCTTGGAATATGTCAGGCAGTCTATTATTCAAATCATTCAGCACTGTAATTGAATACAGCTTTTAGAAAACTTAAAACTCCAAATTCAAAGCTGCTGAACATTATAGAGAGCATAAGTATAAGAATGGTTTTACAGTAACGGTATGAGTCTCTTTCAACCTACAAAACCAAAATATCCTTGAATAGAAACTACAGTACACAACCTGATGCATTGTTCTGTGGCTCATTTGTTTTTATGATCCATGTTTACATACAGCACATTTCTCCTCATACAGATGCACACATGCATATTATAGTTAGTTCCAGGAAAAAAAAAAATTCTCTGGTAATTCAGGGATAACTTCCTTCCAGTTGGATGCAAAACATAGTAAATTCACATTCATGCTTCTGCCGTGGTACATGTAGTCTGTCTTCAGGTGGCTCAACCAAACCGAGTGACTGAGGTCACCAGAGTCTCCTTAAAGTGTTGTGCGCATACCTCAGAACACGCCACACAAGAGAATTCAGACTGAGTGCTTGGGGGAACTCTGCATTTTGAATCAATTGAGTTTTAAATTGATAAGTTTGCAGTCTTGAAAGATGCTTGAAGATGCAGTGCCAATGAAAAATAGGAGGCAAGAGAAATCTGCAAGCTGTCAGTTTAAAGACATTATCTGAAGACACTGGAAGTTAGTGTTGTCCCCTGAACAGAGGTTATCAAGTGAGAGAAGAGGGAACTGAAAGTAAAACTTAGGAAGGACTAAGGACAAGGAGGGTTATAACCTGCTGCAGGAAATGTTTTGAGCAGGCATGATAAGAGGAGGAAGAGGAGAGCTAAGGTATCTGAGAGAAGCCAAGGCAGGGAGCAACAACTCCTACCCATCAGACAGCTGGTGAGAGAAAGAAGCTAAAGAACCTGCTCTTTTCTCATGAGAACTTTAAATGGTAAAAATGTACAAGAAACTTCTCTGTGTGTAGAGCTGCATATGTTCATTAACTAGTAAAAATGACACACGTTTTTAAAAATAAAATTAATGAGAAGGAACCATGGATTTGGTAGCAAAAAATTTGTTGTGATTCAGAACAGTGTTAGTGCAAGAGAGAATTGACAGCTGGATATGAGCTCTGACAGTAGCAGCAGTTGGACAGGGTAAAAGATACATGCAAATATGAACTAAGGTGTGTATCATTTGAGGAGAGAAGATGGTTTCTGCTGCTGTAAATAAAGGATAATTTGGGGGAAAAAAGTCAAGTGTGAGTACATTCATCATAAAAGCATGTAGCAAAAGAGAGGAAAATGTTTGTTGTGGTGAGGAGGTGTTGACGTGAAGGGAAGGGGGTAGGTGTGGGTAAGGGAATTTGGTAAGAGACAAATCCCCTTGCTTTCTAGGAGGTCCTCAGATATTAGAGGGGCTGGGGCGGCTGAACTTGTCTCTTAATAGGTTCCAATGAGAGCTGTGACTATAGGTCTGACACCAAATTTGATACAATTTAATGTTAGCATTCATTATTGTGCATGTGAAATTATGGTATAATTGTAGAAGTGGTACCACTTACTAAGATTTTATTCTGCACGTTCAGTGCATTCTCTTGATAGTAGTTATTATCAATGATGTTTTTACTGATTTCTGCTACCTGGGAGTTCTCTAGAAACTCCAAGTTTAGGAGTTTAGGAAGAGAGCAGTAAATCATCTTGTTTTCTGTCTCGTGTCTTCTACAGAACTTTTGACTGAGACCCATTTTGAGAACTTCTTTAGAGTGGTGATGCATAGAGCAGAAATAATAGCTTTTGACAAAAGTCAAGGTCAAG